AGGTCCTGTCTGCCGCCAGGGCCCATCACAGAGTCATGAGGTGCCTGGCTCTGCATGTGAACATAGAACCTGTGACAAACAGGATTTCCAAGTATCACATTTCTAACAAACCCTCCCACTTCTGCTCACAGATGTCCTCAACATGCATTTTGGCCATCTCACATCTTCCCTGTAGACTAATAGCAGAGGCATGCACAATGAGACAGAACAGTGCCGTTTCATTCATAGCTTCCTAGATGAGGTGCAGCATGAAGCTTTCCAGACTGAAAATAACTGCTTAATTATCCCATGTTCCCCAGATATGAAACAATTTTCTACTTTCTGAGTTACATTCAGCTGTTTGGCATGGCTCTAAAAGCCTGTGGAAGTCCCAGTTAAAGTCAGTTTATCCTTAGAGATGTTTCCTGCAGTCATGGGAAGATTCCATAAGGGCTGTATATAGAAAAGACATACAAAGAGTATGGAAAGTTAAGGGAAGGTACAGATTAGAGAAAAGCCTGCACCTTCACAGTAGCCCTTCAGGTGAGCAATGTTCATTTTTATTCTGTGAATTAGGGAAACAGTTGATGTCAAAACGTAACAGGTTTCCCCAGGGTCTCTGCTTTATCCCAGTACAGCATCAGCTGAGCCCAGTACAGGATAAGGATGCAGGATTTTGGCTTATACTTTTTCCTCATCGCTTGGCCCTATAGATATGCAGCACATTGTCCAGACCTTGGGCATCACAGAGAATGGATCAGCCATTTCTGCACTGCCCATATACTGCATAAACATCAGTTACTCTGTTTTCAGTGTATGGCATCACCCTGTCTTACTCGTGTAGAGAGATACATAGTGAGACTAAAATGAGAAGCCATCAGTTTACTGGGCATTTTCAGTTTGAAGTTGTAGACCTGTGTTTTTATACTGTGGAGGGTTTTGGTGCTTTTTAGGTTTTTTTACTTATTCCAAACATGGCTTTTATGCATCTTAGTTGCAACAGTGAATCCTCAGTAATTTTGTCCTTCCCTTTGGACACATGCTATTGCTAACTTCCTGTTGGACACCTATTAAATTAGAGTTGCCCAGCTAATGAACTTTTGAGAAAAGGCTGGTTGAAGTGATTTATGGATGTAACATCACATAGAAGCTTTACAGCAGAGACATGAAAAGAATCTAATTCTCTAGAGCAGTATTTTGTTGTCTTCACTACAGCACATCCCCCTTCTTCCTTCTTTATCCTTCATTCATGACATGTGCTACAATCATGGCAATGAAAGAGGTAAGGGGTCCTCCAGACAACAGGATCCTCTGTTTGACTAGCTCAATTCATCTCCCTGGGCAGAGAGAGAATAGTCATGTAAATGAAGACTGTGTCCTAGACCTGCACCCAAGAAGGCCAAATTAAGATTACCCAGGCAGACTTAATATCTGGGTGCTGCTGGCTTTGGGGAGCCGGACTTTACAAAACAGGGCTTTCCATCTGTAGTAAAAGATGTTCTTGTTTATTCTGTTGTGCAGAATTGTGTTTGTACCAGCATCAGTTATGAGCAGGACAGGGCTGAGACTGCTGCTGGTGACTTAACAGGGTGAACCAGGAAAGCTGCAAAGTCAAGTGTGGGAAAGGCCCGACATGGGTATCAGGACACAGACAGCGCTGCTGTTCCCCTTCCCACTCAAGCAATGGGAAGCGGAGAGACTCACAGTCTCACTCTGGTATGCCTCATTTCTACTCAGGGAAGGCAGAGGTGAGGCTTGTTTACCTTGCCTTTTCCCTTTTGGTAACAGAGCTTCATGGCATTGGCTCAGCTCCTTCTTCTCAGCCAGCAGGAATCATTTCTGTGCAGGAGTCAGAGCAGTAGCTGTGCTATTGTATTCTGAGCTGGCCTTTGTGTTCCTCTTGTTTGCCCATGCTACTGCTAACGTACTGCTGGGCCCACCACGTCTGGAAAGTGGCTGTACCATGGACGCAAAACGTGGAAGCACAGTAGAAATAAAGATTCTGTCCTTTGGCATTTGGATTTTTTTAATGTTAGGGTATAATAAACAGGGCGTTTTTGCTGTAATTGTAATGTTTTGGCATGGAAACGTTTTGAATATGAGATGAAAATAAGTAATAAGAAACACCATCTTTTAAAGTACAAGCTGATAGAAGACTATAACACATTGTCAGTGTTCAAATTTATGAATGCATACTAGTGAATTGGCTTAATTACCACTGACCAAAGGGTCTTCTAGGTTTATAAAGCATGAGCAGGGTGTTCTCTGGTACAGGTCCTTTCCTCTGGAATTTACTCGTGTCAGAAACCTATCGAGCCCCATCTCATTTCAGAAACATTCCTTTTGTCCCAGGCTCTCACCAGTGCTGGCTCCAGAGCTCTTGGTTTGCAGCTTCCTGGCAGCGTTTTGTCTCTGTCCTTCAGAATTCCGTTGTTCAGCAGAATTGTGCTACATTCATTCCATGTACTTGGAAAAGGGTTCAACCTCCAGCATAAGCCAGGCAGTGCTAATTGAGCACTCAGAAATGACTGACAACGCTTTTGTTGCTGGGAGCCAGATGGTGACACCTGGGTTTGTGAGCGGTATCTACAGCAGCCCACCCGCACCCACTAGAAGTTCTAATGAGAACAACTTCCCCTGAGGTACAGTCTGGGAATGACTGAGGCTGGGTATGAACTTAGACTGATAACAAGTCATCCGCCTCAAGGAATTCTCCAGCCATAAATGGGTCCAATGCTAAACATCAAATGGGCACTAGCTGTTGGGGCAAGGAGGTGAAGTACTGATCTCTAATATCAACTGCATGGTTTTAAAACATTGACATCTCTAGGCTTGAGTCAATTGGTCCAGCTCATGTTTTGCCAGCTAAAATCTATCTAAATTTCTTTCCTTATTTCCCATTTCCTTGATCAGCTGTAGATGTTTTTGCCATTTCAGAAACCTGAAATTGGAACTTTAATGTTCGTCACAAATTCAGCATTACTGGTTCTCTGAGTATACAACCCAAGAAAGCCTACACTGGTTCTGTTATTCCATTCAGTAAATAAAGTGACTTCTTCATGTTTGAACATTGGCCCTTAAGTTCTGCTGGGATTTCTAGATTGATGTCATATCGTGCACCAAGGACAAAAGGGTTTTTCAATCTGATTCAGCCTTTATAGAATATGTGAACATTTGCTTACAGAACATGTTTCTTATAAGGTATTTGCCACGTTTTATGTTGAATCACAGTCAGATGTCATGGTCTTTAGAGAAGACTTTCTTACTTTGACAGAAATAGCATCCCTTATGGCCAGAATTCTGTCGTTCTCTAGGTAGGTACCCAGGGCCTCCAGAGGAGTGTGCTCTCTATTCCTATTCTCTCCAGCAGCTCTGAAGGTCCTCACTTCAGAGTACAGTTTTTCTTTGCCCCAGTTACCAGCAGGACTTGCTGTCCAAGGAATAATCAGACTTGTGTGGAGCTGGCAAATGCCAACAGGAAAGGCTCTTGCTCATCTAAGTGTTGGACAATGCACTGCCACAATGGCTTCTGCAGAACTTGAGGCAGAAGGGAAGCACAGATTCTCCCCATGCTGATCCAGTTCCCTAGCTTTTGTTCCTGTTTAAGAGGACTGTGCATTCTCAGCTGACCTATGCTACTTACAGCTTTTTTGGGAGTTTCTGTTCTCATTAAAGAGCCTGTCTGTCAAAAGGCTTTCTCTGGGCAGTTTTTTCCTTATCAAGTGGTGGAACTTTGAGATGTAACCAGCTGTGTCTTATTTGGGATGACAGCAAGGAAACCATTTAAGCCACTGATGCAAATCAAATGTGATCCTAATGTTATTCCTAAACAGAAACACTCTTAATAAATCCAGAGACCCCGCTTGATCACATGTAAAACAAATACATCCCCTTCATGTATTTGTGAGTATTTGATTACTATTATTATTCATGAAATCATTACCTGCATTACCTCTTTCCTGTCTCAAACTTACAGTAGCTAATGGCTACACAGCTATTGCCCCAGGTTTTCAGTCGGGGTTTTGTTACTCCTCTGAAAAGCACTTTGGTTGCTCTGCTTTAAAGAACCCAACCTTACAAAGTTCTTATCCCAGGAAACCAGGAGCCAGGATTTATTGGATTGGAAATAATAGTGCAGCTGTGTTGATGTGGGTTCTTCACATTGCTCTCGTGGCAAGATCAGGAATTAAAAGAGTATATTCACTTCCAGTAATAACACACCCAGCCTGTAGTCAAATGAAATGAACTGGTTTGTTGGAGTATTTATGAAGTCAACAAACTTGCATGTTCTATTAATGTTCTGAGCTTACTGTGAGGAGAATACTTGCACTGGGTCAGCTCATGCTTCCTGGTTTGGTTTTCTCTCTTCTGATTTAGAATTTAGTATTTGCATCATGTCAGGATATAAATGTTGTCATAATGCTATTATAAAGCCATTTACTTGTTCAGTTTTATAGAGCTTTTATTCATTAATTGTACAGTGACCAGAACAACCAGATCCTAGTGCCTAACTGGGGCCATTAAGTACTGCTAAAAACCCTTTGCCTGGATAAATTGTACCTTCTCTTTCCCCAGCTTAACCTGAGTATCATCTATGAGTGGCAGCTTTTGTCTTCAGAGTGCTTTTTTAACACGACCTTTTTAAATTTGAATAAATAATTGTGAAGTAAGAATGAGATAAATGCAGAAGATTGTGACCCGGTTGCTATTACTAGCACCCTGCAGTGTTAATAAGTCCATTAACGAACTTACACTGGGTGAGGTTCTTTCTCCAGAAATTCTGTGTCTCTTTCTACGTAGGTTAGGTTGAACCTGTGCAGACCATCTGAGTTACTCCTTGTTTGTGCCACTGGGAAAGGGAGCACTGTAACCCATGGCATGTTTGGTTTGAGGCTGTGATGTAGAACAGGTTTGCCAGACACTGTTTCCCTGCAGTTGCCCCTGCAGGTTTGCAAACAGGACACGCATGAAGTGACTCCTTCCTGACCTCTTTTAGCCACTTGGTTTGTTTCTGTCTCCAGGTGTGGGTGGATGCTGGAACACAGATATTTTTCTCCTATGCGATCTGCTTGGGGTGTTTGACAGCTCTGGGAAGCTACAACAACTATAATAACAACTGCTACAGGTAATACCTTCCACATTGCACTTTTACATTTACTTTCGGTGATGGAAACACCCACATGCTTCACTTAGAAGTACTTCTCCTTTTCCTTTAGCTATTTGCAGATAAGCACATGCTCAAGTTCTTGTAGAACAGAGATCTATAATGTTTCATATAATTGTTTCAGAGGAAGTCTTTTCCAATATCTGGTGTTTTCATCCCTTTTGATCATACCTGACCCTTGCACAGCCACAAGCCACTCAGTACACACAGGCATACCCGATTGCATTTATAATATACAGAAGTTCATATATATAGTTGCATGTACATACAGTATTTGATTGTATAATTAGTATCTGCTTTAAAAAAAATCCTACAAAAAACTGCTATTAAAAGTCACCTGAGTTTGGTCTGAATGTCCCTTTCTACCACAGTCGACTGGCTTCTCACTAGAGCACAGGAGAAATGGAGAGCATTTAATTGCATATCTTTATAGAAATCAGTAAGGAAATTGCTAATGCCTTCAACAGATTTTGATGTCTCCTGAACCAATGTCAAAAGGAGGTGACACGTTCTGTTCTACCCCATTCCATTCTACCAGCGTCGACAACAACATGAGCACTACTTTTTTCCTTCTGTCATGAATAGTTACGGAATCAGTTTTTCTTCTATTCAACAGCTTCTAAAAGAAGGCAGTAAATGACAGTTTGATAATGCTGAGTCCATTCTGACCTCCAGACAGAGGATTAAAATCTTAATTTTTCCATAAAGGAACAGTTACAATCCAAAAGGGAAAGAACCCCAGCCAGAGCCCTCATCCCCCACAGTGTACGTATGTACATTTTACAGGACAGGTTCACTTGGAGAGTTCAGAAGACAGGTTTAGGAAACACCTTCTTTCAGTATCTTGGCAATAATTTGCTCTTCTGTCAGAGAAACAGCGAACAGCAGGACCCTTCAAACAGAGAGGGAACTGGGATACTGGAAACCACAGAGACACAAATGAACCCACCAGCTGAATGTCTGCAAAGTTACCCACCGGCAGGGGTACAGGTACTTTGCCATCTAAACATGCATAGTAACTTAGCAGCAACTTAAATTGCACTTTGCTTGGCTCTGACAGCCTGAACTCCAAATGTTCTACTGCCTAAAGTGGTGTAGGTAGAGTCAGACAGCCTCAGCAGATAGGAGAGGACAATCTTCCTGCTTCATGTGGCTCTGGGTTTGCAGGGCGGATCCAGCTCCCTGCAGCACACTGCACAGCTCCCCCCCCCCACCAGGGGAAGCACTGGTTGGTCTCATTCTAGCACCATTCCTGTGTCCTGGAGCCTGGCACTGTGGTGGGACAAGTCCTGTGTGTGAGCCTAAGTACAGCAGGTTGCCACTGGGGTGCAGAAGACAAAGGAGTCATTTCTCAGACTGCCAACAAATGGAGAAAACTGTTCAGAAACGAAGATGTGGCCTTTATCAAGACGAGAAGAGGAATGGGATTTGGTCTTGAGGGGATCCATGAGAGTAACGAAGTAACTGGAGGGATGAAAAGGCTCTGTGGGCTTTCCTAAGAAGCTCCTTAAGGAAGGCAGAATAACTTTTCAGCAGTATCCTGGCTGCAAGGCAGGGACAGAAGGGATGCATGTCTTGAATTATTCAGGTGTTTGGCAAGACATTAGTTTGGAAGAATATGAAGTGCCCCAACCTTCACCTGATAAAAAGGAAAACCTTCCTTTTGGGGCTGCATCTGAAGCCTGGGAATTACCTAAAATAAATCTTACCTGCAGAAAACACACTGTTCCAAATGGGAGGCATTGTACAGCCAGTGAGCAGCCAGACCCAGCCCTCTGACACAGCAGCTCTCCCCACCCTCCCTCAAAGGATTAAAAATTACACAGACTGCCAAGGGGTTTTGCTTGGAATGTGTGCCAGGACTTCCAGAATATGAACTGCCTCTTACTGTCATTACCAATCTATGGCAAAGATAGGACTTGATACTGAAGATGTGGATTCAGAAGCTGTTAGGTTTTACAGGGCATTTTCTTCTCATAGACAACTTGCACAAAAATTTGCTTCAGATTTAGGATGGGAATAAAGCAGACTAAGGTATAGGCTCAACAGAACTACAGGCTTGCCTTGGGGTTCAGTTTGGGTATTGTTTCAGGTTTGGCATCCTAATGTCCTTTCAAGGCATGTAGGTTAGGTTATTACTTTCTCAAGTATACAGCTCTCGCAGCAAACACTCCTAAAAGGCTGACTGTCAGGATAAATCATTCCCAGCTCACTGCTGTCACGCCTCAAGTGCTGCCTGAAAGCAGGATGAACAAGGATATTCCACTGGGCTCTGGGGAAAGATTGCACCTTGCTGCAAGACCATTTTCCCTTTTTTCACAGTGATTTACTACTGTGACATTTCCAATCTGGGAAAGAAATATTTCTTCACCTTGGCCTTGTAACTGCCACTGTTTGATGTGTAGGATACCCAGGTCTGAGAGATCAGTGTCCCTGCACTGTCTTTGCCTACTTGTTAGCACTTTTTCAAGCATGTACATACTTCATGGACCATGTTTGGTGGGTTTTGTTACAACAGCTTCTTACAAAAAGTCTGCAAACCAAAGTGGAGTTGTATTTTGTAGGAATAGATATTGCCAATATCTATACTGTAACTGGAATAGAATTAGCTAAGATCTGACTACAGGGTTTTTTTCCAGGAAACAAATTAATAGCAACTTTATGGAGTTTATAAATTATCTCATATCCTCTGGAATGCATTATTGCAACTACTGCAATAGACATTATTTTTAATACCTTTCTTACAGTATTTTTACACATTTTTAAAGCTTCTATCAAAGAACAGTAGTGAATAGCAGCAGGTTTGTAATTCAACCAGTTAAAACACACAAGGGTATAGTGATATTTTTTTCCTGCAAATAATTATACTTGACTGATAATATTAGTTGGGAGCTTAGTCTTAATGAGGAACTTAATGTCCTACAGCATGAGGTGCTCTAAGTCCTACAGCTCAGTAGGTGCAAGCAAGCCAGGCTCTGGAGATCAACTGTACAAATGTTTCTTATTTGTATTTTCAGAGACTGCATCATGCTCTGCTGCTTGAACAGTGGCACAAGCTTTGTTGCTGGTTTTGCTATCTTTTCAGTTCTTGGATTTATGGCTTATGAGCAAGGCGTGCCCATTGCAGAAGTCGCAGAATCAGGTAAGTTCCAAAAGCAGTTTTCAGAGTTGTTAAAAAATGCCCAGAGGTTGCTGTCAGAACACTGGGTCTGTGCCACAAAGTCTTGCTTAATGTGTCCTATCCAGACACGGTCAGATGGCTGATGCCATCTCCTAATGTCACTAAGTTTTTCTCCCAGGGACATACACTGAGACGCTCTGGTTGGTTAAGTATAAAAGTTCTTGTTTTGAGTCCAGAAAGGCACAAAGGCTTTTAATGAACCACCTTATGTTCATTACCACCCCTTGGAGTTAGGCATCCAATGGAAGTTAAGAGCTCTTTAACACCTTTGTGGATGTCACATCTTTAAGCATCACTTAAAACCAAACAGAACAAAAAGGAGGACCACCAGAAAGGAAAGCAGTATAATGCTGAACTGTTGAGAGGAGAAATGGCTCTCAGGAATTCAGTCAAGATTAGCAGGAAAACTGTGAAGCAGAGCTTCACTGGTGCTCTCATGGAAAATATTTCTCTTTTCCTGAAGCCCTCAAGTCTTGGTACTATTATAGAAGCTATATAGAGAAAGGTTAAAAGACTGCAGCAACTCTGGAAATTATAGGAGCTTGTAAATACTGTTCAGTGCAACAGCTGGAGTGTGCTGACAGGTCTTCACTGAAGTTACTGCAGCAGGAGTGGAGGTACTCCTCTTGACCTTCAAACATTTGGACAGGATGTACGCAGAGCTGATGTGCCAAGCAAGTCTTCATGACTGATTAGCCTTATCACCAAATATTTAGACTATTAGAGATGTAGAGTTTGTCAAGTTGTTCGATATTGTATTTAGCTTCTCTCATCTGCCATAAAAAAACAGTTAAGTTGTGGTGGGTTGACCTCTGCCAGCAGCTGAGTGTCCACACTGTTGTCACTCGCCCACCCCAGTGGGATGGGGCAGGGGACAGGAAGAGAAAAAGGGAGAGCATTGGTGGCTGCAGATAAAGAGAGGTTAATAAAGGGCGCTGTGGCAGCCCTAAGGTTGCTGTTGGCAGTGCTGTCCTACCCACAGATCCTCACCACAGTGCTCCACAGGCTGCAGTGCAAGGAAGTTAACTCCATCTCAGCAAGATCCAGTACACCGTTGTAAACTATTTCCTTTCTTCCTTTTCAGGACCAGGACTTGCATTCATTGCCTATCCTAAAGCTGTTACCATGATGCCTCTTTCTCCTCTGTGGGCAGCTCTGTTCTTTATGATGCTCATATTCCTTGGATTAGATAGTCAGGTATGAAACAAATGCTGTTGAAATATTTTATCAGAACACCTAGCATGTATATGGCAGCATCCATGATGGAAACAGCATCTCATCTGATGAAAGAATGAACCCTAACTTAACCCTGTGCATAAAACCATCATTCAAGTTCCTTAAATCTTTCAAATCTTATGTGATGCAGATTATTTCATGGTTTCCTGTGGCACTGATGCAGCCTGATTCACTGAATCAGCTTTCATTATGAACACAGCCATCAGCTTGAACTTAGGTATGGGTGATTAAAATGCACAGATCAGTAAATACCACTGTGCCTTTTTTCCCCATTTTTAAATCACTTTGTAATGAATTTTGAAACTCAGTGATAGTGTAAGCTTCTAGGGTGTATTTATACTTCAAGATACCGTAGCAAGGAATGTGTAGGCATAGTCTGCAGCAAAGTGACAGTGTAGAAGTTGTTCTTGCTATGTGACCATCAAAATTATGAGAGCTGATGAACAAGGTGGCAGTTCTAGCATGCAGCTCAGCTCTCAGCATGACTTGGTGCAGAAAGTTTATGACCATATGCTGTAGAATAAGTATATTCTTAAGTATATACCCTTCACTGCTTGTTTTGCATGACATTAAACTGAACGTTTTTGTAACTACTCTTCTTCCTGATCAAACATTTATTTTCAAAGCCCTTTAAAATGGTCATTTCCTGAATTCTGCTCGCGGCTGCTGCAGTGAAGCAGGCTTTACACTGCCTACCTCTGGCCATTCCTTTGGGTGCCTATTTTAGAAACCTTCTCCAGAGCCCTGAGTCAGAACTCAAGCCTCTTGCTTTCTGCTGAGTTTCAAAGTTAGTAAGAACGTTCCTCCCCTCCCTCACCAGCTGTACTTGGCTTGGGCACTTAACAGCTTTGTGGAGCTTTTCTCTCCTGTAAAATGGAGAGAACGTCTCCAAACCCCCTGCAGCTCCTGTAGCAGTGTTTGAAGGTGCACAGGACTGCAGCTCGCTTCTGTGAGTGATAGAAGCTCAGGGTGCTTAGGGTGCAGTTCTGCTGCAATCCAGTGGGTGGTTTGTACAGTATTTAAGTCCCATTCAAGACACATTTGAAAGATTTAATGTATGTAATCCATCTGCTGCAGGGCAAATGTATTCTGGGATAATATTAGTGGAAGTTGAATTTGGTGGTGGACTGGAAATCTACAGCTTTGGTCTTTTTAATTCTGAAATGGTGTTCCTCTCAGTTTGAGCTTCTGCTGATAGAAAGTCCTCAGGGATCATTCAGTCTGTGATGGGAACATATAGAAGGATATTTGAAGTGTTTTTGTAGCAGATCCCAAGTCCCAGATGAGACTCATACTTCAGTTGTGCTTTCCTATCATTTGTTGTAGTTTGTGTGTGTTGAAAGCCTGGTGACAGCTGTTGTAGATATGTACCCAAAAGTCTTCCGAAGGGGCTACCGAAGAGAACTGTTGATTCTTGGCCTTTCCATTGTGTCCTACTTCATCGGCCTAATAATGTTAACTGAGGTAAGATGTGCTTTGTTGTACTGCTGCAGAGAAAAGGAAATGGGCTTCTCTTTATAACCATAACAGGTAAAATGCAAGAATGTTTGCCATATACACATTTCACTGTCAGGAATGTGACTACAAAATACTTGAGACACTGTTCTCAACTACTCTCAAGTACTGTGGAACAGCTGAGATGTGGAATGTATCCTCAGTTCTTCAGCTGGGCTTAGGAAATATTTTAATCCAATTTACGTACCCAAGGAAATCCCATCTGCTTTGCACCAGCCAGCTCTATTGACTATGCTTTCTGCTTGCTTACTGTGGGCAGACCTATTTGGATTAATAGATCAGTCGAGAAGATGGAGTAGAGTGAAAATAGGAAACTAAGACATCTTTGATTTGTATGTCATCAGGCTAGGTCGGTCAATGCAGCCAATCTCTGAGCAGCAACTGCTTCAGGGAGAGTGACAGGAAAACAAAACAAAGGAAATAAATCTTTTGTTCCAAAGCAGGGGGTTTGCTTTGGGATGTTCTAAACTGGAAATTCTGAGGGTGTCAGCCCATCCATCAGTTCATGATACAACACCTCTGCTACTTCTGTGTGAGGTACCCAGGTTGGGGGAGGACTCTGGGACCCTTTGGTACTTGGTAGGAGTTTAGTGCTTGCTTTACAGAATGACTTGTATCAGCAGTTTTCCTCGAGAGAGAGGGGCAGTATCCCCACCCTCCTCTGCCCATATTGCTTGCTGGACCATTAGAGCCTCCCTGTAACAGGGGGCGAGGCAGAGAAAACAGTTTCCTAAACTGAACCTTTGTCCTGGCCACTTTAATGGCCGAGGGCCACCCTGTGTCTGCTGGTTGGTATTGTGGCACTACTGACTGCAGAGGATGGCAGGGCATTGACAGCACAGTGAGCATGGTGCAGGGATGTTGTGCTGGTGCAGGACAAAGCTTGCTCTCCTTTCTCGAAGGGCAGAGGTTGCTGTTGTAAAGCCATTTGGAGAACAACTTCGAACTCGTTAGGAAAGCATGGTTTAAAGACTTGTTGGAGCCAGGGTGATTCTTGGGTGTTTTTTTTTTGGGGGGAGGGGTGTCAAATAATGACTCAGTAACGTGGCTTAAAGGCTGTGAGCTACACCCAAACTTCACAGGTTGATTTACTCATTTTACAGTCCCTATGCCATTGGAAAGGGATTCTAGTAGCTACAGATTTTGCCTACTTTCCCTGTGTTTTAACTAATTCCTTCGCATATGAGTATCACAGACACAAAAAACAAGACCCTGCTTCTTCATGTGCAGTAATCTGGAGTTCAAAAGCACCTGTAGATATCTACAGCTTGACAGGTTAACAAATGAAGTTGAAAAGAGGCAGGGAAGTGGGAGAGCATCTTGGAATCAAGTCAAATGTTGTTCGCTCAGCATTAACTGCCTTAAAGCAAATGTCTACTGCCGGTCAAGGGAATAACCTTAAGTGCTATGGAAGCAAAAAACTTTCACAGTAAGAAATCAGTGACAAATTAATATACTTTATTCAGGAAGGAACCAACTTCAGTAGGAAGATTGCCAGGGAACCAACAGATGGACCGTGTAATTAAAGCCATATTTGCTATGAAATACTGCTACTGGTGCCAGCACAATAGCCTTATTCCTTTATCTGGTTTTGTCTTCCAGGGTGGGATGTACGTCTTTCAGTTGTTTGACTCTTATGCAGCTAGTGGCATGTGCCTTCTCTTTGTTGCCATATTTGAATGTGTCTGCATAGGCTGGGTTTACGGTGAGTTGCTGAAAACTGCTGTGGTTTCCGGTTTTATGGAAGTTTTCTATTTGCACAAAAGCAATGTGTGAGCCTTGTACGCTTATGGAATGGGGCTCTCCACATTCCCATGCCCTACCATAAGTCAGTGATGCCTTTTTTCCCCACTCTAAATAACAGAGATAGTGAAATAGATTTATTACTTTATTTTCCCCTTAATCCTTGTCAGGACTGGCCTGCACGTTTCTTCCTCGGGGCATGTTCCCTCCCACTGCTGACAGTCACAGGTCTGTCCTGGGGAGCTGGAGTTCCTGCCTCATTATCACAGGGAAGGACATAGCAGTGCCCCTACCTCTGCTGCTTGTCTGTCAGCAAAGCCAAAAGCAAACCACCACGGATGTTCATGGTTACATGGTCCAGCAGTTTTTGCACCCACAAGACTATCAGTATGACCTTCAGTCCCAGCTATTGAGGGATTGACACGCAAGCTTGTAGCATATCGATACACTTTAACTGCCTTTGCCCAGGCTGTTAGTGCCCAGAAGCCATTTCTGTTTGACAGCTTGACCACTTCATTGCTCACAATGGTCAGATCCAGATGTGGGCAGCAATCTCTGTGGCAAGGATGGAGCAGATGACAGAGATTGTGTCAGGGAAAGACACAGGCTCAGGGAAAGACAGAGCAGCCCTTGTTGCTCTGTCAGAAACTCTGTTGTTCTCTTTACGTTTTGAATACTGACTGATGCAACCTCTTCCACATCCATTCTACCTCTGCTTTTCGTTTGTTTCCTGGGGTAGGCAGCAATCGCTTTTATGAAAACATTGAAGACATGATTGGGTACAGGCCACTGTCACTGATCAAATGGTGCTGGATGGTTCTAACTCCCGGGATTTGCGCAGTAAGTACAGAGCATCCAAGGAACGTGGTTAAACACAAAGAGGATTTTCCGTGCTTACTTCCAGAATTTTGCTGCTGCTGCTAGTTCAGAAAAAACATCTCCTGATTCGTAGCTTATGTTCTAGCTAAAAAACACCCCGTAGGATCTGCTAAATGCGTGAGTTGTGAGAACTCTTAGTATACACAGTAATAGGAAGAAACAGGGCCCTACATGAACATCTGCCAGTACAATGGAGGCTTTTTTTCACTGCATCACTGCATCTCTGCTACACCTGGTGTCTACCCCACATAACTCAAGCTCCTCCAGACTCATGATGGTTTCCTGGCTGCTCCAGCCTACTTCCTTCTCTCTCTTTGGGTAAGTAGACATTGTTTTCAGACAGGACAGTTTCTTCCTTCTAGTAAAAGTAGTGGCCAAAAGCATATCTGATACACGTGAAGAAGGGGAAGGAATTTGCCTTACCACAAGGTAGCAGTGCTGGTGCCAACTCTGGTGGTCTGCTGTGGCTACACAACAGGGTCAAAAGTACAGAAGGAGCATGACCAGTTTGCACATACGTTTGATCCACAAGTGCTTGAGCATTAGATGCTAAAACCTTCCAGTTGTCCAACACATAAATGATAGCGGCTGCAAACCCACAGATGCTGGGGCATCAGTGGGGTTCCCTTGAGCTCTGCCAGTTCATTCGCAAACTTGGGTACCTTTCTGACTCATTTTCACCAGCCCGTAAATGCACTCAGTATCTCTTGCTCTTGTACACCCTTTCCACCACTTTGGAGAAAGTCCACAGTAGCTTTTCTATATTTCATCAACTTAAATGGTCCAAACTGCTTGATAAGACACCTGCTGGATTTAGACAGCTGTAGTTGAGCTTCTGTGAGGATTCTGGCCTGCAGAGCTGCAAACACAGACAGCGGATTAGGGCAACTCTGAAAATGTTGTCTTTCCTTTATCATTGTGACAAGTTGGAGAGAACACAACTTGTGTTACTTAATCACAGCTGGTTCATGAGAGCAAAGCTTAAGCTTTCCTGCCCAGGCACTGTTTGCTATCAAAGCACAGGTTTTATTGTCATTGAGAGGTAAACAGGATTTCAACTTTAAAGGTTGTTCGTTTCAGTGGAAGCTATTGAGACGTTATTTAAGCTGTACATGAAGCAGACACTGCCGGTTGTTTTGTTTCTCTGGCTGAAAAGCTTACCTCTTCTTTCCATCTTTAGGGAGTCTGTCCTTGCCTAAACAATCGTTTTCTTGTTCCATAGGAGGTGTTTTGTCAAATACCACTAATACATTTCTCTGCTTATTTCAGGGAATCTTCATCTTTTTTCTGGTGAAGTACAAGCCTCTAAAATACAACAATGTCTATATATACCCTGACTGGGGCTACGGCATAGGGTGGATGATGGCACTCTCTTCCATGATCTGTATCCCCCTGTGGATCTGCATTAAGCTGTGGAAGACAGAAGGCACTTTCATAGAGGTAAGATACATTTTCAGATTGACAATACCAAAAGAAGAAATGGGAATGGAGTGTGAGCCCTCACCTCAAGAGACTAAGCACAGTTTAATCAAAGAAGAAATGCCACATGCAGTTTCTAGTGGCAACTCGGGTTAGGCCTCTCAGTCACTGGTAGAAAGAGGGATGTGAATTTTCTCTGTTTTCTTCTGAATGCACAGTCTGTGGCAAACTAAACAATGCTACGGCTTTAAGGAGCTCGGTTCCTGCTCAGTTTATAGCTTAAAATGTCTGTAATATCAGCTAAATCCCTCAAGAAGGTTATACCAGCCATTCATTCTGGTCAGCTGTCTTCTTTCATGGCTTTGGTAACTAATGTTTGTGCTGGCAGGATTTTCCTCCAGGAGCTGGGTTGCAAACCTCACATATGTCTTGTATGCAGTTTTCCTGATTACAGTTATCTAAGTGAGACATACAGGCAGAAAGAAATATTCAGTGCTATTTACTGACATTGGGTATCGGGTTAGCTCAGGTCCAGGCTGAGGTTACGATTATTAAATATATGACTTTTTCTTCAAAGAAGGACAGCGAAGATGACTAGCTATAATGGAAAAAACAAGACTATAAACCTTATTTACCCATTTGGGATTTCTCATATTACAGAAAAGCCTAGTTCTGTCATCTGGAGCCCCTTACATACTAGACAGTGGAAGGAGTTAACCCTGTATTGCCTTCTCCTATCTCAAAACATGTATGGAAGGGCCTTTATTCAGCCCCTTTTGTGCTTTCTCAGTCTTTCTGATATTCTCTAGGATCATGCCAACAGGATGAACAAGACTGTAGGAAGTTCTGTGTCTGGGGCTCCTTAATTTACCCAGCACTTTGGAAAGGTCTGTCTCAGTGTGTATCCACACTGTCAAGATTATCCTCCGTTCAGAGCCAAAGGATATGACATCTAAATGCATTCGAGTACCTCTTGTTGCAATAGGTACTGCATTCCTGAATGGAAAAGGCATCTAACATGGCAATCCATGTTGAAATGACACCATTAAGCCGATTAAATATAACCTGGAGAGTATCTAGGAAACCTTTGCTATGGGTATATAACCACAAAATTAATTGTCTGCAATATAATTGTCTTAGCATGTCAAAAAGGAAGTTTTGCACAAATCTCAACATGATTTCCTTGATGCATCAACCTTTCCCTGTCTCTGCAGGTAAACAGACTTTGTTTGAAGTCCATTTAGTCTGAAGCACTGCAGACAGGTTGTTCTCTGTTCCATACCTCAACACGGGAGGGGGTTTTAGTCACAATTGCAAACACCTCAGCAAGCCAACTTCCTGTAGCACCTCTGCTCCCCGAGCTGAGAGCAACAAAGTTGCTAGAAATGAGAAAGTTCTCAGATGGACACACATCTTTTTGTTCCTTACTGTAGCTTGATACACTTCAGTGGTCTCTTGTTTCTTCAGTGTATATCCTTTGACTATACCATGAGAAACATAATGCACCACAGATCAGGCCTTACCCAGAGCATGAAGCTGAGCTTCTTTATGGCAGGGGATGTCACTCTGCATCAGCATGAAAATTCACTTGACTCTGTTTTCACCTTCATTCTCTAGCATTCGGTCTGGTGTGATCTGTAAAGAATTGGGGGGCATGCAGCTTTCTGGATGTACCTGGAACAGGGAAAGGTGAAGTGGAAATACAAGGGAAAGGGGGTTATAGCCAGGCTGTTTAAGGAATGTATATGTGTCATCAAGGCAAAAATAATGATTCCCATCTTCTCCAATTTCCTAGAAATTCAGGAAGCTGATTACACCCAGCTCAGATCTGAAAATGAGAGGGAAGCTTGGAGGAGGAGCCTACGTTGCAGCAATCAATGACTGCGATGCCAAACTGAAAGGAGATGGCGCCATTTCAACCATTACAGAAAAGGAGACGCATTTCTGAAAGAACTCTCTTTTTTTGAGTTGTTTTGGGGGTTTTTTTTTGTATAAATAAATGGATAAATAAATTCACTTAATCCTAGAGGCTGGCTTGTTTTGCACAGAATTTTATTAACCAGTTAATTATAAAGTGAAAACTGTATACTTGTTTAAAAATGTTTTTTTTAAATGACTATATAAGTAATGATGATGTAAAAGAAAAAGAAATAGTTCTCAATATGTTAGTCATGATTTCTTGTAATATGGTGACTGCAGTTAATGTTTTTTGGCAGCTAGAGGGACTGTATCATGTGCTGTACAACTTTTTTATGTTCATTTCTGGCAGGTGTAATATTGTATAGATCTGTGCATTCTAACCTTTGAGCATTCCAGACCACTTCAGCTGTTCATGTATGTATATAAAGTGGACAGGATGTCCTTGGGTTTATACTGGAACAAACCATGCAGGGGTGCAGGATGACTTGTAGCTGGTGTTGAGGTTGCTGTTTGGAGGCAGGCTGCACCCATGGGAGTCAGAGGGAGCCTCTCCAGTGCAGGGGTGTCAGGCTGTGTGGGTTCAGCTGCTGTTCCCTGGGCTGGGAAGGCACATTTGCAACTACCACAGCTCTGCTTCCAGGGTGAGCGTTGGGAAGCTGATAGGAAGCAACACTTCAGCTGCTCTTCCCACCTTCCCTCCGCCCTCCATGTGCTTCAGCAGGTCTAAAACTGTGCTGGAATGGGCCCACTTCCGAGTCACTGTTATTTCTGGAGGTTGGATAGAGCATTTCTTAAGAGATACGAATTTTGCTGCTCTTGTAAGGTCTGGGATGATGTGTGCTGCTCCAGGAGACCCCTCAAACTTTGCGTTTGCCTTTGTGTCTGGGACTTCATTTTGGCTGACACTTCCCATCCACTGAAGTGAAATGTGTCTGTCTATGCTTGTACAAGAGGAGGTATATGTGGAGATGTGCTGAGGAAAAAAAAGAAGAGCAGGTTTAGAGCCTTTGTGTCTCTTTATCTGTCGTTTGCCAGTCTGCCTGCCTGGACGTCTGCTCATTCCCCTCAAATGAAACCGAGAGTGCTGCAATGGCAGTGTGCAGCGCTACACAGCTTTACTCATCTCCAAGGTACTTTCTAGATCCTCTCAGATTAGGCACTGATTATTCTACCCTGCATAGTACTGAGGCTTGCACCGGGTCAGGATAGGAGCTTAATTGGTAGAAGGCTGCTGAAATCTGGCCCTTAATCTCTACAAGGATTCCAGGGGGTAATTTATCCATGGTGCAGATGAAGGAACGAAGACAGGGATGTAACAACCTGTTTCGCAGAGGGAGCAGTATTGGGTTTGTGGTATCAGGTCTTTTTATTCTATCAATTGTATGAACTGGCTCCCTCTGATTTAAAACAGATTTTGTATGTGAATGTAGCTGATGGATGGTGATCACCGTGAGGTATACACATGCTAGTCCATGTGTCAAAATCTCTATCTCTTGGGTTGGTTATTTTTCCTTGCCTATACTCCAAACACTATTATTTGTTCTGGACAACCTCTTTTCCTTGTGTTTTTTTATTTAATGGTTGTGTGAGAGCCTGTGGAGGAACACTGCGTAGCGCCTGCTGGGGAGAGAGGACCAGCAGCCCAACTGGGAAGAAATGACATGCAGCCTGCTGTCTTCTCTGCAGTTCCACACCAGCAGAGGAAGAGAAGTGGTGGCTGGCCCCTGGCAGAAGAAACTGCTTCACTAAGGATGTCCCAGCACTGCCCAGAACTGTCCATGTGGGCAGCACTTCTCCAAGATTTTATGTCTTAAAAAAGCGTTTTCATAGAATCACTTTGTCTCAGATCACATCATTAAAACTCCCCGATCTATCTAATTTGATTTTATCTTCTCTGTATGTGGTGTGTGCTAAGGTGGAAGTCTCAGACCAAACTTCTCTACCAGGATTCAGCTTGAAATGTTTTAAGTCCTGCTCACCCTGGCATGCTCCATCCTTGCGTGTTTCGGAAAGGACACTTTGAAGGAGCCTGCCTTTGTGAAGGTACGGAGCTGCCGCCTGGGACTGCTGGCCTCCCTCAGAGGGAGCCTTCAGCTGGGGATCTGCAACTGGGATCACCACAGTCCCGTTGGAAAATGGGACTGCTGGGAGAGATATGTTCCCAGAATTGAAACCACAGATGGAGGTTTATACAACGAAGCAACTGAAAGCTACATGTTGACATTGACTCCATGCCTGCTCCAAAACCTAGAAATTAACGGGTTTGGAAGCCCTAAGAAGTTGTAAGCATTTCTGACCCAGTGTCCCTTTCTGGTCTCTGTCTCCACTCATCTGTGTTGCAGTACTGAGGACCCAAAGCCACCTATGGACCTTGGGATGGGTTATGTTCCCTCCCAGAGGAAATGTCAACATGTTTTGTTACCAGTGAAGGCTGTGGATGTAGATGCACTGTCAGGTTACACTGGGCCTTGATCTCAGTGGAGTTGCCCTCAGTTCTCGGGACTCACATCATGACTGTGTGCAGTACAGTGTGCCCGGAGGTGGAACCCACACCATTACTGGCCATCCATCAGGCACAAAATCGAAGTCCCAGACAGGTCAGCATTGCCCTGTCTCCACACACACTGCTGGGGCTCGTGCATGCCAGCTTATCAGTGTACTGTGAACTGCTGTGTTCATCCAAGGATCTCCCCAGGAGCTATGTGCTTTGTATGGAACACACTTCCTCTTCTGCTGCTATGAACCAGCTGCCCTGTAGCTTTATACACATACATATGGTTTGGCATGGTCTAAAGTATTACACAGTATTACTGACGTGCTGTGCTTGTAAATGTGTCTGTTTAATATCTATCTGCCTTGTTTAACACTGTACTGATTTTCAAAACCTTCTTTTTCTTTTGTGGGGAGGGGTGGGAGGGGACATTTCCTGACAGCATCAGCGGCTCACTGGGGGTGTGGGGAGCAATATGAAGGGGAAAATGCAAACCCCAACTATATCGTGACTTTTTTTATGCAGTTAGAAGCAGCATTGCCCTTTTCTGAACTATCTGCAGTATTATTACAAATAGTACAATAAAAATGAACAACCACTAAGGTTTATGTAATGTTTTGCATCAAGACAGATTCTGTTTCGAAGGGCACAAGATTTCATCTACTTACTTATTTTCAAAGATTAAAGGAAATGGGCAAACCCCAGTCTGTGTATTTTAGTTTATGTATTTTACATGACCCTCATCTCATCGAACAGATTAAACACTCACAAGCACCCCGTTAGGGCAGACATGTGGCTTTCAATGGGGAACTTAGAAACAAGAGAAGATTCATCAGATTCTTTGAGCTTGTCCAGGAAATCTGGGGCTGAAACAAATTAAAGTTTCCTGATCTCTCAACTTCATGGCACTGTTAGTTAATATAAATCCATGTTTCCATGGAAGAGTCAGCCCTGCCACCCCATCCTCCCCCTGCCCACCCCAGGCCTGGCTGGGAACAGTTGCACACCCCTTTCCTTACATCCTTTAGTTTTTAAAGGATCAGTTCCTCCATCTGTTAATCTCTGCTCTCTGAGGAACATCTTCCCAGCAGTTGTTTCTGATGCCACTAAACACACGCTGAAAGCCTCAACCAAGCCCCTGTTTCTCACAAGATGCTACTGTCACCTGATGGAGAGGGTCCTTCTCTATCGTGATGAGGTTCATGGCTTTTAAAACAAGAGTCCTTACTCTTCACTGAGGTATCCCAGTTAAACAAGAGAAGCTAAGGATAGCCAAGAGTTCCTTGCTATAAATGGCTAGTGACAAAATATCAGGGTATGCTTTCTATCAGCTTGCTGTTCACATAGTCCATCAGCCAACTCCACTGCCCACTCCTGGCACTTACTACAGCACTACAGAAGAGGCAGAGCAGCTTCTCTTTAATGTTATAGTAAAACATCTCATGAGGAACACCAAGAATTCTGGCTGATCTCTTTTTACTGAAATTAAAACACCTGCTTATTTATCATATACACAGATGAATCATTCCTCTCCTCTTCCCAAAGGGCTAAAGACTGTCTGCAGTTAAGGCATGCCATGCTCAAAAGGGCAAACTGCAGCCATCCAGGCAGACACCCCAAGGGCCAAGTTGGGTGCAGGCAGCGCTGTGTTCAGCTGTGCTCTCATCAGTGCTGATCAGCAGCCCCGGCACCCACGTGCAATGCGTGAGAGGTGGAATCGCCCATGAGGCCACAAAGAGGAGGCCATGGAGATGCTGCGAGGGCTGGAGCAGCTCTGCTCTGGAGCCAGGCTGAGAGAGAGCTGGGCTGGGTCAGCCTGGAGAAGAGAAGGGTCCTGAAGGGGAGACCTTAGAGCAGCTCCAGTGCCTAAAGGGGCTGCAGGAAACCTGGAGAGAGGCTTGGGACAAGGGCCTGTAGGGACAGGCCAAGGGGAATGGCTTGAACCTGCTCTTAGGCAGAAGCTCTTCCCTGTGAGGGTGCTGAGGCGCTGGCACAGGGTGCCCAGAGAAGCTAGTCATAAGCAGAAATAGAAAGAACAGTCTACTAAGAGAAGTAAAGGAGAACTATCTGTGTTGTCTGCAGGGATGAAGACACAATATATTGCAAGTGACAGTCACATAGCTTATTTTTAGGGATTCTTTCCAGAAAACTAGCTCAGGTTATGTTTAAAAGTCTCTGCTTTTTTGTCAAGTTTTGGCTCAGCCTTCACAGCAATCTCATTGGGTTCTTGTAGCACAGACTTCTCCCCAAGCTTTCAGGCCTACTGCTTGTGTAGGTACCACTTCCTCCTCAGCACAGTTCACTATATAGGCTCTGCTTCTGCAGAGTGAAAAGAGCAGTGGTGATGGAGGCTATTAGTTGGTTGGATTCATTAAACATAAGTGACAGAACACGCTGACCATGGGTGTGCAAAGAAAGTGCTGTGATGTGATATGATATAAGGGAAGTTAGGGAGAAGCTGGTAGGAAGCCTTATGGGGATGCTGCCATGGATGCTTGTTAGCTCACTCGGAGTTATCTCCTGAATGTAATGACCTCTGCTACCTGCCTCAAGCACGCAGCAGGTAGGGAGTGTGAAGAGTGGGGTGGATGATGGAGTTCTGTCGGAACTAGATC